CAGGGTCCTGGGATCAAACTCCTCATCGGGCTCCCTGCTCAGTTGGGAGCCTGCTTCTCCCTCTCCCATTCCCCCTGCTTGTGTTCCCTCTCTCAGTCTCTGTCAAATAAATAAAATCTTTAAAAAAAAAAAAACTAGGGGCGCCTGGGTGGCTCAGTCATTAAACGTCTGCCTTCGGCTCAGGTCATGATCCCAGTGTCCTAGGATCGAGCCCTGCATTGGGCTCCCTGCTCTGCGTTCCCTGCTCCGCGGGAAGCCTGCTTCTCCCTCTCCCCCTCCCCCTGCTTGTGTTCCCTCTCTCGCTGTCTCTGTCAAATAAATAAAATCTTAAAACAAAACAAAAACAAAAAATCTAAGATGGACATAAAGTCATTATTTTAAAGAGTCATCATTTTAGGTATTTATCCTAAATTAGTATTATGTAATAAACCATGTAAAATCTATTTATATCAGCTGAGTGAACTTCTACAATCATCACAGTCATGTGACACAAATGAACCTAAGTCATGCACTGTACTATAGAGAATAAAAAAAGCCATGTGACAAATGTCTACTTTATCAGCATGAAGCTTGGTATTAGAAAGGACAGATGAATAGAATTTCCTTCATTTTGCTTCAGTTTACTTCCAATTAGTACCACTACCATCTTATATTTGTATTGTGTATCACAGTTTACCAAACACCTTCCCAATTATTATCCCACTTACTCCCAACAACTGCAGTGATAAAATCAGTCAGGAGAGAGACTAGATTGAGCTTTTTGGAACATATCCACTGAAAGGAAAATCCAGTCACGATAGATTCAGACTACTAAGAAAAGGAGTTTTTTTGATGTATACATTAGAATTCAAATAGAAAAAAATCTGTATATTACCAATTGTATTTATTTTTGTAAATGCACATGACAGGCTGCATTTTTTTTTTTTAAGATTAAGGTTTTGTATCAAGATATTCCACGGAGTATGCTATCTTTGTGTAGAAGCTGAAGTTTCTCCATAGGGATAAAGCCATTCCTGGCATTAAACACAGGGCAAAGGAACCGATGGATCACATTTCCATGTGGAGTCCTTTGCACCTAGATCTTCTATGGAATGGGAGTAGGACACCAAGCCTCCAAGGGCAAACAAACTATGGTAGGATCAAAATCAAACACTTTAAAAGACAGTTTGTATATTTAAAGAATTCTAGTTTTCTGTTAAATAATAAAAAATGAAAAATTTTGGAAAGTTTCAGCTTATCTTCGTTGCAGAGTAACTGAAAATACTTTTTTGTCTTCTAGACAAACTGTTACTGAGGAAGTTAAATACCCCTAAGGACCAAAGTGATAGTGACAAAAGTAATTTCAATGAAAAAATCCTAGGGGGAATGGGGCACTTTAGAAGAGGTTGTCAAGGTCACTAAGGCATCCTTTGACATCAAGACATTTTCATTCCAGGATTGAAGTGTTATCTACCTTGCAAAACCCAGCTCAAATACCATTTCCTTTAGAAAACTTTCCACAGGGGCGCCTGGGTGGCTCAGTCGTTAAGCGTCTGCCTTCGGCTCAGGTCATGATCCCAGGGTCCTGGGATCAAGCCCCGCATCGGACTGCCTGCTCCGCGGGAAGCCTGCTTCTCCCTCTCCCCCTCCCCCTGCTTGTGTTCCCTCTCTCACTGTCGAAAAATAAATAAAATCTTAAAAAAAAAAAAAAAAGAAAACTTTCCACAATTTCTCTGAAAGACTAAATATAAAATTATTAGCAGAGTGAGGAGAGATCAACTATGCACCCTTAGAATGTGCTCTATCTTCACAGCCGTAACTCTAGGCCCAAATATCACCTCTTGGTGGTTTACTCACTCCATTCTTGTCCCCACTCAAGGGAGTTTCTACACAGGAGTAAGGATGACCTCTCTCTCTCTCTCTCTCTCTCTGTATATATGTATATATATACATACACTCTAACCCCAACATGGGACTCAAACTCACAACCCTGAGATCAAGAGTCTCACGCTCGGGCGCCTGGGTGGCTCAGTTGGTTAAGCAACTGCCTTCGGCTCAGGTCATGATCCCAGAGTCCCGGGATCGAGTCCCGCATCGGGCTCCCTGCTCGGCAGGGAGTCTGCTTCTCCCTCTGACCCTCCCCCCCTCTCATGTGCTCTCTCTCATTCTCTCTCTCAAATAAATAAATAAAATCTTAAAAAAAAAAAAAAAGAGTCTCACGCTCTACTACTGGGCCAGCCAAGCCAGATGCCCCCAGGATGACCTGATTAAGATACAAATTTGAGGGGCGCCTGGGTGGCTCAGTCATTAAGCGTCTGCCTTCGGATCAGGTCATCATTCCTGGGTCCTTGGATCGAGCCCCGCATCGGGCTCCCTGCTCGGCGGGAAGCCTGCTTCTCCCTCTCCCACTCCCCCTGCTTGTGTTCCCTCTCTCGCTGTGTCTCTGTCAAATAAATAAATAAAATCTTAAAAAAAAAAAAAAGATAGAAATCTGAGGGCTCCCTGCTCAGCGGGGAGCCTGCTTCTCCCTTCCCTCTGCCCCTCAGCCTGCTTGTGCTGTGTCAAATAAAAAAAAAATAAAATCTTAGGAAAAAAAAGATACAAATTTGACAAACTTCCCTGCTTAAAACATTTCACTGACCATCCAATGCTCTTCAAATAAGGTCCAAATATTCTGGAAAATATTACAGAGTTCACTGTACTGTTATCTCATCACATTTCAGTAGTTTGAAAATTTCACTATAAAGCTTAAAGGTAAAGAAAAAAAAGCCAGTCCCAAATTCTTAACGTTGCTTAAAAGACCTGGCATCATCCCTCTTGCCCCCTTTTGCATTCCACACTAAATCCAACTGCTTTGACCTTTCAGTTCCTTAAATTTCCCTGAACCTCCCTCTGGGGAACCTATTTCCTTTGCCTGGACCTTTCTTCCCTCCTTTGGCGGGGTCACCTTTAACTAATTCCTATTTACCCATAACATCTTAGCTGGAAGATTACTTTCCTAAGAAAACTTTAACTGATTTCCCAAGCTGGTTATCCCCTTGTTACAAGTTCTCACAATATATTATATTCTTCCTTTTTAAGCTTCTGTCTAGGTTTACTGGCATTTGAACTGCAGAAGTCCACTTATATGAAGACTTTTTTCTATAAATACAGATATTTCTAAATATAGTACATTTATAAATATACTATATATAAATATAAATGTACTATATATACTATATATCTTTATATATGTAATATACTATAAGCATAGCATATATAAGTATAGTATATTAATGTATTATATACATAGTATATTATAAATGTATTTTCTCTTCCTTATTATGATTTTCTTCATAACATTTTCTTTCCTCTAGTTTACTGTAAGCAAACACCATAGTACATATAACACACAAAATACGTGCTAGTTGACTTTAAGGCTTTCAGTCAGTAGTAGGCTGTAAGTAGTTAAGTTTTTGGGGAATCAGAATTCATACACAGATTTTCCACTGTGTGGGGGTTGGCACCCCTAACACTCCCACCATTGTTCAAGGGTCAACTGATGAGGCTTTTGTGATTAGTTGTTTAACCTAATAGCAATGTAAAGTCCTTAAAGGCAAAAATCTATAGGGATCAAAAAAAAAAAAGAAAAGAAAAAAAAATCTATAGGGGTCACCATGGTATCGTGGGCAATCACCAAACAGTAGGTATTAAAAATTCTGAATAAATTAGGTAATTAACATTAAGCACTGAGTAAAGTATGAATGTGAAGTATTTACCACAGTGTAGGGCTAAGAGCCAGTACTCAACAAACTGGAGTTTCTGTTAATACTGTATTCTGCCTCGTATCATTACTACTTGCGTGCTTAATCACTCTCTCCAACCTGCACACCATTCCTCCTGTTTTTGGATGCCATCAGTTCATAGCACTAACTTCAGCGGTACAGATGCTCAAAATTCACTGAATTTAACTGCCTTTAAAATCAATACGCCTTTCTGCATATTTACACAGAAGACATAACAACATCAACTTTTAAGTAGTTTTCCCCATTAAAAACTAAACTGTAGGGGCGCCTGGGTGGCTCAGTTGGTGAAGCGACTGCCTTCGGCTCAGGTCATGACCCCGGAGTCCCGGGATCGAGTCCCACATCGGGCTCCCTGCTCAGCGGGGGGTCTGCTTCCCCCTCTGCCCTCTTCCCTCTCGTGCTCTGTCTCTCATTCTCTCTCTCTCTCAAATAAATAAATAAAATCTTAAAAAAAAAATAAAAAAATAAAAACTAAACTGTAATTTAAAAACGTATAAAACACTCCCAAAACACACTTGAGCCATGACTCTGAAATACGGAAGCCGATTTTCACGTGTTCATACAATGTCATACTTTTCAGTTCCACACTGACATCAATCAAGACTGTCAGTTTCCTCTCTATTTGCCATTATCTCCTGTACGTATCCTCCGGTACGAAGGAACCGATGTTGGACGCCACCCTAACGTTCCTTATTGCTAACAAGAAATTGCAAGTAAAAAGACGCACATACAAAAAATTAAACATGGAAAACAGCAACCTCGAAACCTACAAAAAGACTGTCGTGGGAGACTACCACCACTACGTGGTGAAGCTACCTGAGAAACGGCCACCCCAAACAAACGTGCTGTATTTCGCACCGTGCTCCAGCAGCGCACGCCTTTGGAAATGGGGGCATTTTAAGTGCACCTAACTCGAAGTTTCCGAGCGCCCCCAGAACTGCAACCCTCCGCGGAGCTGGCGCGGAGCTCGCCCCGCAGGACGCAAGCACAGGCAGCAGGCCGGAGCCGCGGCTCACCTGAGCGGGCCAGAGTCTGGCCCCGACCGCCGCCGCCAGCGAAGCCGAAACGGCCCGGACCCCGGCCTCACCGAGAGTGACCCGAGCGCTGCGGCTGCGCCCGACCCAACGACAACCCCCCCCCCGCGCCCCGCCTGGGAAACGCCCGCCCACGCCCGGCGGCGAGCCAACGTCCCAGCCCCTCACCCCGCCGAACGCAGCGCGGCCGCAGCGCACTCACCTCCGGGCACGGCCGCGCCGCCGCCTCCCGGCCTGGTCTTCCGTTCGCTCAGGGGCCGCGGGCGCCACCGCGGCTGTCGGGCGGGAGCCCCTCAGACGGGGAGCACCGCCGCCCCCAGACCCGCTGAGGCTCGCGGGCCGCGCCGCCGGGACCCGGCCCGCCTCCCTGGGCCTTCGCCGCCGGGCGCCGAGCGCGCGCCGAGCGGCTCCGCGCAGCCCCAGGAGCGCGCGCGCGGGGGTGGGGCCGGCCGCCGCCGCCGCCTCAGGCCCCGGCTGACGCGCACTAATGGCGGCCGTCTCCCGTCTGCCGCGGGCGCCGCCGCTGGCTGCCTTCTCCCCCGGCCCGGGAAATGCTGGGAGCGAGGTGTGGGCTCAACGGAGAACCCAGCGTCTACTTACCTCTCTACCTTTCCAGCCTCTGATGGAGTCCGCGGAGAGATTTCCCTGCATTGTGACAACGCTGAACTTTACCCGAGCCGAGCCCTGTGGTTCTGGAAAGCGACGGTTAAAGAAATCCCCCCACCCTTTTGTGCTCCTGAAAGGGTTTACCGCAGGGAACCATCCTTCCCCGTGTAACTCAGATATGACTCACGCGTGCACCCTGGTTTTTACCTGTGGCAGGTCAGACACAGACCGTCCAAATTCCCTTCGGTTTTGCCTCGTAAATGGTAAGGTGAACTGACTGCACTCACTGACCAATCTGGACGAAATACGGGCTGCCTTGACTTGACCAAACTTTAGTTAAGCTGCTCTCCTTCCACCAGGCCCCTAAACGTTGACCCACCATCAGCCTGAGCCGGGCTGCAACCCCTTCTTATCCACCACTCCTGAAAAATCGGCTCACCTTCGTGCAAAACACTCAGGTGCTGGGTGGTCACCGCCACCTCCCCCCTTTCCTCCCCCTCCCCCACACCCAGTTCTTTCTAGTCTTTGTTCACTTCTCCCTGTGAAAGAAAAGCCCTTTTTTGCCTGACTTCGGATACAGTTGCCGAGCTCCTGGTCGGAGTTCCCCTAGAGGAATAGTCCCCCCTCACCCTCCACACCTCACTGCAATAGTCCTTTTACCTCTTCCTATCTCATGAAGCTGCCCTAGTCTAGGTATCTCATATAACTGGAATCATACAATATTTGTCCTTTTGTGTCTGCCCTTACTACACTTAGCATTATGTTTTCAGGGTTCATCCATGTTACGGCAGGTATCAGGATTTATTCTTTTTTATGCTGAAAAATATTCCGTTGTTGTATATACCCCGTTTTGTTTATCCACTCACCTGCTGATGGACGTTTGGATTGTTTCCACTTTTGGCTCTTGTGAACAATTGAGCTGTGAAGATCTGTATACAAGTATCTGATTAGTCTCTTGCTTTCAATTATTTTGTATGTATCTAGATGCAGAATTACTGGATCATATGGCTTATGTTTAACTGTTTGAGGAACTGCCAAACTGATTTCCACAACGAGTACAGCATTTTAATATTCCCCTCAGCAGTGCACAAGCATTCAGGTTTTTCCATACTCTTGACAGCACTTGTTGTTTTCCATTGTTTTGGTGTTTTTACAATAGCCATCCTAACGGGCGTGAAGTGGTTGGTATTCATTGTGGGTTTGATTTTTATTTCCCTAGTGACTAGTGATGTTGAGCATTTTTTCATGAACTTTTTTTTTTTTTTTTTTAAGATTTTGTTTATTTGAGAGAGGGAGAGAGAGCAGGAGCAGTGAGGGAGGGGCAGAAGGAGAGGGAGAAGCTGACTCCCCACTGGGCAGGGAGCCAGTGGAGGGGCTAGATCCCAGGATCCTGGGATCAGGACCCAAGCGGAAGACAGATTCTTAACTGACTGAGCCACCCAGGCACCCTTTTTCCATGTATTTATTGACCATTTGTATATCTTTGGAAAAATGTCTAATCAAGTCCTTTGCCCATTTGTATGTATGTATGTATGTATGTAAATTTTACGCCCAACCTGGGGCTCAAACTCATGACCCTGAGATCAAGAATCCCATGCTCTATCAGCTGAGCCAGTGCCCCAGTCTTTGCCCATTTTTAAATAGGATTGTTTTTTGTAATTGAGTTGTAGTTTTGTGGGATTTTTTTTTTTTATTGTCTTCTGGATATTAACTCCTTATCAGAAAGATGTTTTGCAAATATTTTCTCCTATTCTGTGGGTTGTTCTTTCGTTCTGTTGATGGTGTCCTTTGATACTCAAAAGTTTTAAATTTTGATAAGGTTCAATTTATTTATTTTTCCTTTTTCCCCTATGCTTTTGCAGTCATATTTAAGAAACCATTGCCCAAATTCAATGTCATGAAGATTTTCCTGTTTTTTTTTTTCAAAGACTTTTATAGTTTTAGCTCTTACATTAGGTGTTTGATGCATTTTGAATTAATTTTTGTACATGGTGTAAAATAAGGGTCCAGCTTCATTCTTTTGCATGTGTATATAGTTTTCTCAGAACCATTTTTTGAAAAGACTGTCTGTCCTTTTCCCAATTAATGGTCTTGGGATAAATACCACTCAGTTATGGTATAGAATTCTTTTGACATGCTGCTGGATTTGGTTTGCTAGTATTTTGTTGAGGATTTTCGCATCTATATTCATAAGGGATTTTGCTCTGTGGTTCTTTTACTGTGATATCTTTGTCTAGCTTTGGTATCAATATAATGCTGGTCTCATAGAATGAGTTAGGAAGTGCTTCCTCCTCTTCTATTTTTCAGAATATTTTGAGAAGGATTGGTGTCAATTCTTAAGTGTTTGGGAGAATTGTTTAGTAGAACCGTGAAATCATCTAGTTCTGAGCTTTTCTTTGTCGGGAGGTTTTTGATGACTGATTCAATCTCTTTTTTTTTTTTTTTTAAAGATTTTATTTATTTATTTGAGAGAGAGAATGAGAGAGAGCACATGAGAGGGGGGAGGGTCAGAGGGAGAAGCAGACTCCCTGCCGAGCAGGGAGCCTGATGCGGGACTCGATCCTGGGACTCCAGGATCATGACCTGAGCCGAAGGCAGTCGCTTAACCAACTGAGCCACCCAGGCGCCCCTGATTCAATCTCTTATTGTACATATGTTCAGATTTTCTGTTTCTTCTTGAGTCAGTTTTGGTCATTTGTGTGCTTCTAGAATTTTGTCCATTTCATCGAGATTACCTAATTTGTTGTCATACAATTGTTCATAGTATTTTCTTATGATTTTTATTTCTATAGGGTTGGTAATAACGTCCCCACTTTCATTTATGAATTTTTTTTAAAGATTTTATTTATTTATTTATTTAAGAGAGAGAGAGAGAGAGCATGAGGGGGGTGGTGAGAGGGAGAAGCAGGCTCCACGCTGAGCAGGGAGCCCAATGTGGGGCTTGATCCCAAAGTCCCGAGATCATGACCTGAGCCAAAGTTAGCAGCCCAACTGACTGAGCCACCCAGGTGCCCCCATTTATGATTTTAATAATTGGGTTTTTTTCCCTTTTTTTCTTGGTCAGTCTAGCTAAAGTTTTGTTACTCTTTTGAAAGAACCAACTTTCAAGTTAATTGATTCTCTCCATTGTTTTTCTGTTTTCTATTTTTTTAAATCTCCACTCGAATCTTTATTATTTCCTTCCTCCTACTAGGTTTTGGGTTTCATTTGCTCTTTAATTTTTTCTCTGTTAGTTTTCTGTTTGTTTGTTTTTGGGTGCCAAAACCCAGGATTGAATCTGTTGGCTTTTTAGTTATAAGCCACTATAAGCTCCTTAAGGGTACAAACTGAGTCATGTATTTGTTAGATATTCTCCAGAGCACTTTATACAGTAGCTATTACACAGGTACATACTAGGGGGCAGTAAATGCTTCTTGAATTGACATAGAAAAATGATAGGTGACCCTCAGGAATCTGCTCCTGATCCTACATCCCCTTTTCCAGTTGGTATCCCTTCCAACCATCCAGTTCAGGTTACAAATACAGTCATCATCTTTGAGCATTTCCCTTACCTCAAGATGAATATCTAGGCCAGAGCTGTCTAATAGAACTTTTTGAGGTAATGGAATTGTTTCTGCACTGTCTAATATATTAACTACTAGCAACATTTTGCTACTGAATACTTGAAATATAGGTAGTATATCTAAGGAACTAGATTTTTAGTTTTTATTTTTATTTTATTTTATTTTTTAAAGATTTTATTATTTGCCAGAGAGAGAGAGAGAGGGAGAGTGCAAGCAGGGGAAGTGGCAGGCAGAGGGAGAAGCAGGCTCCCTGCTGAGCAAGGAGCCCGACATGGGACTCAATCCCAGGACCCTGACATCATGACCCGAGCCGAAGGCAGACGCTTAACCATCTGAGCCACCCAGGTGCCCCTAGATTTTTAGTTTTTAAATTTAAATTTAAATGGCCATATGTGGATAGTAGTTATCATATCGGGCAGTACAGAACACTAATGTCACCAATCCTGATTTTGTCCCATGATTCAGTGTTTATTCAAAGTGTCATGCTTCTTAAAAATATAGCCTCTTGGAAGTCACCCTGTGCATACTGGATCAGTATCATCTCTTCCCTGAGGACCTCCTTATAGAGTTGCAGTATGTCACCTGAGCTCCATCGGAAGTAAAATTAGGGGCACCTAATTGGCTCAGTGAGTTGAACATCTGACGCGATTTCAGCTCAGGTCATGATCTCAGGGTTATAAGATCAAGCCCCACGTCAGGCTCTGTGCTCAGCAGGGAGTTTGCCTGAGATTCTCTCCCTCCCCCACTGCCCCTCCCCTGACTCCTGCATACTCTCTTTCTCTCAAATCAATCAATCTTTTTTTTTTTTAAGATTTTATTTATTTATTTGAGAGAGAGAGAGCACAAGCAGGGGGAGCAGAGTGGCAGAGGGAGAGAGAGAAGCAGGCTCTCTGCTGAGCAGGGAGGCTGCATTGGGGCTCAATCCCCCCTGGTGTCCTGGGATCATGACCCGAGCCAATGGCAGACACTCAACCGACTGAGCCACCCAGATGCCCCTAAATAAATCAATCTTTTAAAAAAAGTAAAGGGGCGCCTCCGTGGCTCAGACAGTTAAGCGTCTGCCTTCAGCTCAGGTCATGATCCCAGGGTCCTGGGATGGAGCCCTGCATCGGGCTCCCTGCTGGGCAAGGAGCCTGCTTCTCCCTCTTCCTCTGCTGTTCCCCCTGCTTGTGCTCTCTTGCTCTCTCTGTCAAATAAATAAATAAAATCTTTAATAAATAAATAAATAAAGTAAAATTAAAAAAACAAAATCAAACCTAATTTTATCATTGCTTATCCTTTCTGTTAAGTTTCTATATTCTTTTTTTTTTATTTTTTTTTTAAGATTTTTATTTATTTGTTTAACACAGAGAGAGAGAGCACAAGTAGGCAGAGCAGCAGAGAGAGGGAGAGGGAGAAGCAGGCTCTCCGCCGAGCAGGGAGACTGGAGCCTGATGCGGGGCTCGATCCCAGGACCCTGGGACCACGACCTGAGCCGAAGGCAGCCGCTTAATGACTGAGCCACCCGGGTGCCCCAAGTTTCTATATTCTATATCACTATTTCTGTTTTTATGTTTACTTTCTCCAAGCCTGTGACTTTCCTTGTAAAAAGGTGTCTTAAGGGCGCCTGGGTGGCTCAGTTGGTTAAGCGACTGCCTTCGGCTCAGGTCATGATCCTGGAGTCCCGGGATCGAGTCCCGCATTGGGCTCCCTGCTCGGCAGGGAGTCTGCTTCTCCCTCTGACCCTCCCCCCTCTCATATGCTCTCTCTCTCAAATAAATAAATAAAATCTTTAAAAAAAAAAAAGGTGTCTTAAAAGTGTCCTTCAGGGGCACCTGGGTGGCTTAGTTGTTGAGTGTCTGCCTTTGGCTCAGGTCATGATCCCAGGGTCTTGCAGGATCATTCAGAGCTCTCTGCTCAGCAGGAGCCTGCTGCTCCCTCTACCTGCCACTCCCCCTGTTTGTACTTTCTCTGTCAAATAAATAAATAAAATCTTAAAAAAAAAAAAAACCTTAAAAAAAAGTGTCTTTCAAAGAGCCCAATTTATCAACATCTATAGTTTATGTTTTTGTGTCCGTTTTAAGAAATCTTTGCCTACCCCATAATCACAAAGATTTTCTTTTAGGCTTTATTCTAAAAAAACAAAAAATTATAGTTTTAGCCTGTGTTTAAGTCTATAGTCAATCCAGAGTTAATGGTCAAGGTTTATTTTTTTTTGCATAGGAATATACAGTCATTCTAGCATCATTTATTAAAAAGTATCCTTTTCCCTGTTAATCACCTTGACCCCTTGACAAAAATCAATTGCCCATATGTGTGAGTCTCTTTCTGGACTTTCTATTCATTTCCATTGAGCTATATGACTATATATTTACACTGCCCTGGTTATTATAACTTAATAGGAAGACTTAAAATGAGGTAGTATAGTTCTCTACTTTTGTTCTTTTCCTGATTGTTTAGGTGACTCTAAGTTCTTTGCATCTCCATGTAAATTTTAGATTCAGTTTCTTAAATTTCTAAAGTGTCTTCTGGGGTTTTTACTGGAATTGACTTGAATCTATTGATTAATTTGGGGATAATTTTCATCCTAACAATATGAAGTATCTGGTAAACCTCTCCACTTGTTTAGTTTTTCCTCAGCAACACTTTTTAGTTTTCAGTATATAGATTTTCCATATTTTAAAAAATATTTATTTAGGGGTGCCTGGGTGGCTCAGTCATTAAGCGTCTGCCTTCAGCTCAGGTCATGATCCCAGGGTCCTGGGATCGAGCCCCGCATCGGGCTCCCTGCTCTGCCAGAAGCCTGCTTCTCCCTTTCCCACTCCCCATGCTTGTGTTCCCTCTCTCACTGTGTCTCTCTCTGTCAAATAAATAAATAAAATCTTTAAAAAAAAAATTTATTTATACTTGTCAGAGAGAGAGAGAGAGAGAGAGAGAGAGTGAGAGTGGCAGGCAGAGGGAGAAGTGGGCTCCCCGTTGAGCAAGGAGCCCGATTCAGGACTTGATCCCAGGACCCTGGGATCACGACCTGAGCCAAACGCAGATGCTTAACCGACTGAGCCACCCAGTTGTCCCTACATTTTCCATATATTTTGTTAAATTTATCATTACTATTTCAAACTATGTCCAAATGGTTGTTGTACGTGTAGAAATAGAAATAATATTTATAAATTGATCTTCTATTCTGTGACTTTGCTAAATTCACCTATTGGTCCTACCAGGGCTTTTTGTTTTGTTTTTTAGATGTTTTAAGATTTCCTATGAGATTACCATGTTTGCGCATAAAGACAGTTGCTTCTTCCTTTCTGAACTGTCTATCTTTGGGGTGCCTGGCTGGCTCAGTTGGTGGAGTGTATAACTCTTGATCTTGGGATTGGGTATAGAGATGACTTAAAAATAAAAATCTTAAAAAAAAAACTGTAGGGCACCTGGGTGGCTCAGCCGGTTGGGGGGCTGCCTTCAGCTCAGGTCATGATCCTGGGGTCCTGGGATCGAGTCCCGCATCAGGCTCCCTGCTGGGCCCGGAGTCAGCTTCTCCCTCTGCCCTTCCCCTCTGCTCGTGATCTCTCTCTCTCAAATAAATAAAATCTTTAAAAAAAACAAAACAAAACTATATATCTTTTATTTATTTTTCTTTACTATTGCTTTGCCTAGGACTCCTAGTACAATGTTGAATAGAAATTATTAGAGCAGACATTCTTGCCATGTTCCTGAAATTCAGAGGAAAGCCATCACCTTTCACCATTTGTTATTGTGTTATCTATAGGACTTTTTAGATGTTCTCTATCAGGTTGAAGTTACCTACTAGTCCTACTTTGAATTTGTCAAATGCTTTTTCTGAATCTAAGACAACCATATGGATTTTCTCCTTTATTATATTGATATGGTGAATTACATAGATTGTTTTAGTTTCAAATGTTTAACCAGTTGTGTATTCTTGGGATAAATCTCACTTGGTCGTGATTTATCACTTTTTATATATTCGTGGATTTGATTTGTTTGTTGTTAATGTTTTGTTATGAACATTTGTGTTCCCATATATAAAAAGAATAGCTGTTTGTGTTTTCTTTATGTTATTGGTTTCAATATCAGGGTGATGCTGACTTATGTTTCCTCTTCTATATTCTAAAGGAATTGGGGTAAAATTGGTATTGTTTTTCCTTAAATATTAGATAGACTTCACCAGTGATGTTATCTGGGCCTGGTGTATTATTTATGGGAAAGTATTTAATTACATATTTAATTTATTTAACCAGTAATAGGGGTATTCAGGTTATATATATATATTTTTTTTTGAGTGAGCTTTAGTAATTTCAGTTCAAGGAATTTGTCTACTTCATCTGTGTTTTGGAACTTATTGGAATAAAGTTGTTCATTATATTTCTTGTCTCTTTAATGTTTATAGCAGAGGTTGGCAAATAGCAGCCCATGGGCCAAATCTACTCTATGATCTCTTTTGTGTATATATGTGAGCAAAGAAAGCTTTTTGCATTTTTTTTTTAAGATTTTATTTATTTGACTGAGAGATAGAGAGAGCACAAATAGGCAGAGTGGCAGGCAGAGGGAGAGGGAGAAGCAGACTCTCCGCTGAGCAGGGAGCCCGATGTGGGACTCCATCCCAGGACGCTGGGATCATGACCTGAGCCGAAGGCAGACGCTTAACGACTGAGCCACCCAGGCGCCCCTCATGTAATTTTTTTTTAGAGATTTTATTTATTTGTCAGAGAGAGGGCACAAGCAGGGGGGGTGGCAGGCAGAGGGAGAAGCAGGCTCCTCGCTGAGCAAGGAGCCCAATGCAGGACTTGATACCAGGACCCTGGGATCATGACCTGAGTCAAAGGCAGACACTTAACTGAGCGACCCAGGTGTCCCACTAGCTCATGTACTTTTAAGCAAAGTTAAAAAGATTATCAACTTTTTATTTTCTGTCATATTGAAGAATAGAAGCAACCCTTTCATATCTTCTTCAAGTCTTCCTTTCTTTTGTCCATAATATTCCCTTATTCCATTTTGTGGTTCAAGATGCATCTCAGGGGGCGCCTGGGTGGCTCAGTTGTTTGGCTTGTGTTCCCTCTCTTGCTGTGTCTCTGTCAAATAAATAAATAAAATCTTAAAAAAAAAAAAAAAGGATGCATCTCAGGGCTTTCCCTAAGTCCCTGCTTGAATTAGAGGTATGTGCCTCATTCTTTGTCACAGTGTATTGCAGCTTGCTGGTTTCTTGCCTGTTTTCTTCATTCTCTCGTCTGTAAGTACTTTAGAGGGCCAAAGCTATGTGTTGCTGTTTTTTTTTTTTTTAAGTTTCCCTATTTCCTGGCCTGGCAGGGAGCACCTAACACCAGTTGGGTTCTGAGTAAACATTTGTTGACAGTAAATGGTATAGGTTATTAATGCGGGACTGTTGAACCGAACGGTGAAGAAAGAATTGTTGAGACGTTTTACAGTGCAAAAAGGTGTGTCTTTATTACAGCACGGGGACAGGACCTGTGGGTAGAAAGAGTTGCATTGTGATTTTGAGGAGTGACTAAATATATAGGGTTTTCTATCCTGTGGAGGTAAGGTGACATTACGGCTCCAGGATATTGAGTCTATAGGTTCCTGGAGGTCTATTATTAAGATTGTTTTTCTTGGGATGCCTGGGTGGCTCAGTCAGTTAAGCATCTGTCTTCGGCTCAGGTCATGATCCCAGGGCCCTGGGATCAAGTCCCACATCAGGCTCCTTGCTCAGCGGGAAGCCTGCTTCTCTGCCTGCAGCTTCCCCTGCTTGTGCTTTCTCTGACAAATAAATAAATAAAATCTTAAAGAAAATTGTTTCTTTTCTTTTTTTTTTTTTAAGATTTATTTATTTCTGGGGCGGTGGGGAGGGTGGGGAAGGGGCGGGGCAGAAAGAGAGGAGGAGAGGGAGAGAGTCCCAAGCCGACTGTGCTGAGCAAGGAGCCCAAGGTGGGGCTTGATCTCATGACCCTGAGATCAGGACCTGAGCCCAAAGCAAGAGTCAGGCACCCAACTAACTGTACCCCTTTCCTTTCTTTTAAAAAAAAATTTATTTAATCTCTACATCCAACATGAGGCTCAAACTCCCGACCCCAAATCAAGAGTCACATGCTCCTCTGACTGAGGCAGTCAGGTGCCCCAAGACTGTTTTTCTTGTAAATCTTTAAGACAGCTACAAACATGGGGCACCTGGGTGGCTCAGTTTGTTGGGCATCTGCCTTCAGCTCAGTTTGTGATCCTGGAGTTCTGGGATTGAGCCTGTTTCTCCTTCTGCCCCTCACCCAGCTCGTGTGCTCTGTCTCTCTCTTTAAATAAATGATTTAAATCTTAAAAAAAGAAGACAGCTATAAACTATAGTAGAGTTTCATGTCCTACATAACTGGGATATTTATCAGTTGACCATTTGTTTTTCCCTTGCCTTTCTTAGGCAGTTACTAGTGCCTGAAGAATGTTATATATATACATATCCCACCTTAATGGGGGGTTTTGGGGGCTGTCAGCTTGTGTTTTGCCCTCAGCTTGCCTTTTGTTTTCTCATCAGGAATAACAGCCCAAATCACAGCCTGGCTTTCTCACTTTAGGACTACATAAACAAACACAGAAACAAAATAAGGCAGGAAAGCACACAAATCCTTTATATCCTAATTTGCATGCCGTAACACCTCTTCAAGACACTTCATATACAACTGAAAACCAGTCTCTTTCTGTAGGAAACCTGTATTCTCTTCAGTGATCTCATACAAAGCTAACTGATGCAGGAAAACCAGGTAGGGTTTCATTATGAGGCCTCCACACCCATAAGAGGCTGATTTTAAGTGGCAGGTGGTATGTTGCAATTTAATGTTAAGTGGACTTTGCCTGCTTTTCTGGGATCCATACTTATTTCCAAACAGAAAAGTTACCTTCATTCAGTGCTGGACGAAGTTTTGTTGAACCACCGGGCACTTGGATGGCCAAAAAGCCCTAATTTTGATGCAGCTTGGGTATTTTTACAGGACTTTTCTTGAGCCTTCAATTTTTCTTACTGCAGCAAACAGGAAGAACTTATGCCCAATGAATAATAGACTATCGCTAATGTACGGAGAATTTTGGTGAAATTAACGTAATTTCTACTTTACTGGAGAGCTTTTCATATTTTCTTCATCTTTGAAAGTTAAATCAGAAATTTTATATTTTGTGTTCAGCTTTTTATATTCTTAATTCTTGTGCGGGTGGGGGCGGCAGTGATAAAGAAGACTCTTAGGGGGCGCCTCGGTGGCTCAGTCTTTCGCCGTTCTGCCTTACGCTGAGATCATTGCCCCAGGGTCCTGGGATTTAGCCCCGCATCGGGCTCCCTGGTCGGCGGGAAGCCTGCTTCTCCCACTCCCCCTGCTTGTGTTCCCTCTCTCGCTGTCTGTCTGTCAAATAAATAAATAAGGTCTAAAAAAAAGAAAAAAAGGAGACTCTTAGGAGAAAGAATTCATTCTTTGTGACTCTGCCTTAGATCTAGGCTAAGGTTATAGAAAACGACCCTTTCTTGTATACAGACGCAGGGGTCTAGCGTTTGTTCTTTCTTAAACTCACCATGTGCCAGAAGCCGCACAGATCTATTTTACCATAGTTAGTCTTATTTTTACAGCCACGAAAAGTGCGACTCAAGTTCGGTGTCCTGCCTCCGGTACCTCTGGGATTCCAGCTCAGGTCACCGCGCCCTCGCCTTCCCGGGTCCCCGTCTATCTCCCGCTTTTGCCGGTCGTTCCTATCTCCATCCAGGCCATCTGGGGCGATCGTGGAGATGCTAGGGTGCTCGAGCCCGGTAGGGCGTGAGAATTCCAGAGCAAACCCCGGCGCGCTAGCCTGTCCCCAAGCCCCTTCTGGTTATTCCCATCCCCCTCCTAGACTCCCGGCCAGACCTGGAAACCATAGAGTTCACACAGCCCAGAGCGTCCCTTCCCCGGCCGCCCAGCGCTGACGCCGCGCCGCTGGGCGGGGTCTCCTGGAGGGGCGGAGGGAGAGGAGGGGGAAGCGGGCAGGAAAAGGGCTGGCCGGCCCTGCAGCGCCCCGCAGCGGCCACGGCCGGAAGCGGTCTCGTCGGCCCTGCGGCGCTGAATCCCTGACGCACCGAGCTCGAGAGCGAGAACGAGAGAGAAAGGGGCAGAAATGGCGGCTCCGCTCGGCTCCCGCTGAGGAGGGCGAAGCCGGTGGAGGGTCTGAGCTGTCGGCTTGGAGCATCGCTCCCGCTTCCCGCTTTCTGCCTTCTCACGCCTACTTCTCTTCTTGTGCCCTACTCTCGCCTGTCCTCGTCTACGCTCCGCAGAGTCCGGGTCGGCTCGTCTCTCCCGGCCCGGCTCCACTGGCCCTGACTGCCCGACCGGCGGGCCGGCCTTCCTTGGCTCTCCCGGGCGCGGCGGGCGCGGTGTGGACCTCGTCCTCCTGGCTGGACCATGGTGAACACCCGGAAGAGCTCGCTGCGTCTTCTCGGGTCCAAGTCGCCTGGGCCCGGGCCTGGGCCTGGGGCCGGAGCGGAGCCTGGGGCGACCGGCGGCAGCAGCCATTTCATCTCCTCTCGGACCCGCTCCTCCAAGACCCGCGCTGCCAGCTGCCCCGGCGCCAAGGCCGGGGGAAGCGGTGGCGCCGGCGTCGCTCTGGAAGAGGCCCGGGTAAGAGCGCCGCGGCCCGAGTCCGGAGGCTTGCGAGTGCCGGCCCGGCCGCCGGGGCTTTGTCTGGCCGGGTTAGGGCAGGAAGCCTCCAGTGGAGACGGCTCGGGAGGCTGGAGACCGGGTCCGCCGGTGCGGTGAAGGATGGCACCCGGCTGGGCAGGGCTGCGACAGCTTTGCTGGTCCGGCTCTTTTGTGTAAAGAACAGGACTGGAGTCTGGGGGAGAGGGCTCTGGGGGGTCTTTTCGGGGACATGCTTTCCGTGTCCTTGCCCTGCCTTCGAGGGGAGTTCTAGGGGAGCAAGAGCGGAGGGCCGGAGTCCCCGGGTGGAAGGGCTGGAGGAGAGAATGAAAGTTTTCTGCGGTGTCAAACCCTTCTTGTAAGTGTGTCAGCTCCTGCCGGTGTCTCAGCTCCAGCTTACTCTCAAACTGTTTGGGGGTGGTTCAAGTTGGTGAGGAAGTGAGCGGAGAGCTCCAGTTGGCAGCCAGGCAGGGATGCTGAAAAAAGTTTGTAGCTGCTCTGACACCAACTTTAAAAACAAAATCAACGCTCTCGCTTCTCCAGGCAGGAGCGATCAAGCATGGTTTTGTAGCTGGGGAATCAACCAGCTAGCTAACCAGGGTTCTAGTAGGGACCTAGTAGAGCTTTCTCGTCGCAAAAGGGGCATGTCGAATGTTTTGGATTGTACCCACTGTCTTCAAATTGTATGGTTTCTTGGATGTCTGCATTTTTGTTATGGGAATAGTTTATAAAAGGGGAATTAACACCATCGTCACACTACTGCAAACGTGACATTTGAAGAAGGCTGGGGATACAGTTTTTTAGAAAGTTGTTGAAAGAACTTGAAATTTATTATAAAACTCTAAGCTAACACTTGTTTTGTCACTTTAAGGGAATTGATAAAAGTTTGTGTTACGAGATTGGTTATGAATTTAGAAAAGAGTATGGCTTCTGTCTAGCAAGAGGCTAATTTACTAAGAGTAATTTGGCTGGAAATTGTTATTCATTTAAAATGCTCCTTTGATTTCACACCATTTATTGTGAGAGGGAAGCGATATTTTATTTTCTGTGGGGTCTACAAGATTACGGTTTGTGTGTGCTTTTTCTCTGTATCTCCTATTGTTTAGACACTAATCAGAATGAACTGATGCAAATACATCATATATTTTACTGTACTATTCTGAAATACATTTATTGTATCTTTGAAAATATATTTGGCTTTTATTTTGCTAAAAGTCTGGAAAATATTTTAAAAAATTGTCTTGTTAGTAGACTATTTTGGGGCTAACAGATTTTAAGATGAAATAAGAAAGCTAAATCTGAAAGTTGTGCAAACTATTTAGAATAATTACTCTGAAAACTTGGCTTTTTGTAGAAATTATTCCCAATGTGTACAGGCTTATTGACTTTCTGAAGCTAACATATATTTTAAAATAGAAATAAAGTTAAGAAAGGTCTGTCTTCTACACCTAAGTACAAATAAAATGTTTAGAGTGTAAGCATTTAATTGTAGTATAATGGTATGAATGGCTAGTCTATTAGAGCAGTGTCTAATTCATCTGAAGCAATTAGCTCATCTGTCACTGATCAGTTTGTGCTCCCATTTTTGAATTCATGGATATCATGCTGTCCTTACCCCCTAAGGAATAAGGTGAAGTAATTTGTCAAGAAGCTGTTATGGAGATGTTAAAAGGCAAGGAATCAATAATCTAATGTAGAAATGAACGTTTGGTAGCTTTTAAATTGCTGGAGGAATGAAAGATATTAGAGCTTTTTCTAGAAGGATGCTAATGAAACTTTGTTTCAAGGATCCCTTTAAAATGTTTTAAAAGGCCATAAATAACAGGCTAATGAAGATTTACTTTAAAATATTTGTTTCTCAGTTTTAAGACTTATCTTCCGTCTGTAGTAGATGATAGAATGATCTAATGGCTTTCTCTGAGAAATTGAAGAAATTTACTAATCCTATGACTGGTCCTTTAAAGGAGGATAAGTTATAATCCTGAATTTGTTTATGGACTATATATATTTATGAAGCAATTTCTGTATATTTCTTTGTATATATTTCTAAAGTGGGTTGATTTGAGTCTGGTAAGGTCTTCCTCTCAAGTTCGTTTTATCAATTACAAGAATTTAGTATTCTTTCCCATGTATTTAAATAGGCACCCTCTGTGTCTTTGGAGTTTTAGGCATTTGCTACTGTCTGTAATGACTTATTTGTTGGAAAATGGGGTTGTTCGTGCTGTTGCTTTAGGAGACTCTTATTTTTGTAGGAAGAAATGTATTCCTCTTTATAAGATACATCATTGAGGAGGTCCTCCTTTTTTTTCTTTTGTTATGTTCTTCACTTTACACTTGATGCTGATTTCTCTCCCTACTCCCCTCAACCTCCCGGGATGCTTTTTAGATTTCATGCGCTGTGTTTAGAGTTACTTCATTTGCTTTAAAAAGCCATAGGACCATGAGCTGTGCCTGTAATTTTGCCTTTTCCCCAAGTATGTGTAGAATTGGGAAATAAACATATGATACATTCTGTAGGTTATTGCAATGATTTTCTTGTACCCACACTTTTTATTTTATTATTTTTTAAAGATTTTATTTATTTATTTGAGAGAGAGAGACCACAAGCACGGGGACGGGCAGAGGGAGAGGGAGAAGCAGGCTTCCCGGTGAGCAGGGACCCCGATGCAGGGCTTGATCCCAGGATCCTGGGATTATGACCTGAGCCGAAGGCAGATGCTTAACTGACTGAGCCACCCAGGCGCCCCGTGCCCACACTTTTTAAATGTCAACCTGACTTAGGTAGTTAATTGTAATTACTCTGATAACTGGCTTTTTTTGTTTGTTTAGTAGGTATAAAGTTTGACCTCTTTTAGGTCAGTTAATATGATGATCAGTAACTAGCATTTATTTGCTCCACCAAAGAGTCACTCTCAGCAAACTAATATATTCACAGAATTGGAAAGCAGTTTTTGAAAAATATTTCAGCTCTTTTTTTTACTTCTGTTAGGCCTGTTTGATTTTGGCTTCATCACTAGCTTTTTGTGCTTTTGGGGAAGGTTACATAGTACATTTTGAGTCCACATCTAAGTCGAGAGGGTCAAAATATTTTGAATAACTTTAGAGGTAAACTTGCTTTATCTTAATTTCATTAAAAAAATCTCTGGGTCCTTTAATATGCTCTATTTATTTTTAGAGATTTTATTTATCTGAGAGAGAGAGAGAGAGAGAGAAGGAGCAGGGGGAGGGAGAGGGAGAAGCAGACTCCCCGCTGAGCAAGGAGCCAGATGTGGGACTCAATCCCAGGACCCTGGGATCATGACCTGAGCCGAAGGCGGACCCTTAACCAACTGAGCCACCCAGGTGCCCCCTTAATATGCTCTTTTATCACCTTGTACTTACTCTTTTCCAACACCCATGCATTTACCAACATAATACAAGCAGAGTGGCAGAAGTTGATGGTTAAACATGGAAAAGAAGTCTGAGAGCAAAATGTAATAATGTATATAACTCTCAGATGAGTAGGGAAAAACAGAAGTCCTTCAGAGTAGAGCAAGTTTTTCCTTATATGTATCAAGGTCTTGAGTAATGTGTTAAATAATGTCCCCTGTCACAGTTTTGAACCAAAGCAGCTATGGAGTTTATAGGATTATCTGTGGTAGCCAACTGAAAATGCAACTTTAAAAAATTTAATTACTGGCCATTTCTGTAGTCTAGATATTCAGACTTGCAGTTTTTAAGGCCATAGATGAAACTTACAACACCTGTAGAAGTGAATGCATATTAATTAATTCCTTAAATAATTTTTCTGGCAAGTAGTCTTTGTAACCATTCATTCTTTGTTAGGTCCTAAATACCTAAGTATAGATAAACCTATAGCCTCTGGAAACCAGCTGGACAGGTGATAGGATTACTACTTGTTAGAACTAAGGACCAAACCAGTGGCTTCACCTGAAGGGGGAGTGATCCTGTTCCTTCAAGGATCCACTTCAGAGAAGTGCTGTACTACTTTGAATTGTATATTTGGCATTTCTTTTCAGACATACACAATGAAATTTCATTTGTGTGCACTACTGAGTTGATTTGATATTTGGGTTTTGGTCTTTTATTGGGAATATTTTATATTATGCCTCTCTGGTATGGGAGGATTTTGTGAAAAATGACTTATTGAGTAAAAGGCATTTGAGATTTTTGGATAAAAACTTATATGAAAGTACAAAGTTGGGGGGGCGCCTGGGGGGCTCAGTCATTGAGCGTCTGCCTTTGGCTCGGGTCATGGTCCTGGGGTCCTGGGATCGAGCCCCGCATCGGGCTCCCTGCTCCGCGGGAAGCCTGCTTCTCCCTCTCTCACTTCCCCTGCTTGTGTTCCCTCTCTCGCTGTGTCTCTCTCTGTCAAATAAATAAATAAAATCTTAAAAAAAAAAAACAAAAAACAAAGTTAGGGGGGAAAACCATACATAAAATGTTGTAAGTATTGGGGCGCTTGGGTGGCTCAGTCGTTAA